CCGTTGGACCCGGCTCTCCCGGATCCGGCTACCCTGCCGCTGTCGGACCCGTCTACCTGGCCGCTGCTGCTGGACCCAACTCGCTCGGCTCCACCACCTCCACCGCCGTCGGACCCGTCTACCTGGCCGCCGCTGCCACTGTCGGACCCAGCTCTGCCACTGCCGCCGTTGGACCCGGCTCTCCCGGCTCTGCTGCTGCCGCCGTTGGACCCGGCTCTCCCGGCTCTGCTGCTGCCGCTGCCGCCGTCAGACCCGGCTCTCCCGGCTCTGCCGCTGCCGCCACCGCTGCCGGACCCGGCTCTCCCAGCTCTGCCGCTGCCGCCACCGCCGTTGGACCCGGCTCTCCCGGCTCTGTCAACACCGACGCCTTCTGCCCATGCCAGTGCTCCTTTTGAATGGGCCCGGGTGGCCCCAGCACCTTCCGCTTCTGGGTTCCTGCAGGGTTCAAGTTCCTGCCGCTCACCACTGACCACCACGTGCCAGTGGTGTCGGCTCGTGCCCGGCTGGGCTCTCTCCCAGCCCGGCCTTGGCTCCGGCTCTCCTCCCTTACACACAGTATTTACTTACACAGCAGTGAAGAGCATTTATCAGCCCATCAAAAATACAAAAGCTCTTCTTAAACAACTTTTTCCAAGGAAGGAACAAAAGGACATTACCAGTTACCTGTTGATTTGCTGCAAAAAGCTCTAAGCAGACAATATCCTGTTTGCCTTACACAGACACCTCTCAGCATTAGCTAGCATACCACATGCTGGATACAGTCCATGCTGTGGAGGGGGGGCAGGAATCCCTGCTTGAGCTAAGAGTGGTGGGGGTGGGAGTTGGGGGGCCACAGGGGGAAGCCAGGCAAATGCTGCTGTGCCTGCCGTCTCTGCCAAAGCAGAAGGGAGGGGCCAACCCAGCTCTTTGGAGCAGAGAGCCCCACCCAGGGCTGCAAAGCATCTGGGATGCTGGGGGACTCTCGTTTAAGTTAAACCAACAGGGGTTCTGGAAGGCTAGGGATGGACATTCAAAAAGCCTGAGTCTGAATTGATTCACTCTTTGCAGGTTAGTCTAAGCTGTGCAGCTCAAACTGATTAATAACTGGACAGACATTTTCTGTTAAATCAGGAAATGCAAGCACGTGCCTGCAGTGGCTCAAGCCAGAAGCAAGTGGATGCTAGAGCCAGCCACTGGCAAAGGGGAGGGAAGAGAGACACCCTCTAAGACTCTCACCTCTCCTTGCTGGAGCTGGGGGGCATGGCCAGGCACCAGCTGGGGCTCGCAGGACACACAGGATGCCAGCCACCAACCTGGGGGTGGGGGTGGAGGTGGGGGAGGGACAGGGGGAAGAGCTGCTGCCAGACTGG